GAGAGAGAGAGAGAGCTTTTCTGCGATTTTCTCCCAAGAGGAGTAAGTTCGAGGACTCGTGTTAGTCTCCGGAGGCTCTGTGGATCCGAGCTTCAGAGAATGAAGGCTTTTCAAGTGAAATAGGATCCCGACCGTCAGAATATCAAGCGCTATACATTTGCTTTCTGCTTGGTTTCCGTTAGTCATGGCCCTCTCATTGGTTGGAAGTTATTTAAAGTTATAAAGTTTTAGTTATAGTTTTAAGTTATATAGTTATAGTTTAGGAGAAATCTAGTAATTAAGTTGGAAGAGCGCAATAAATTTCCTTATTCTATTATCAATGTTATATTTTTGAGGGCAGATTATTTAAATATTTTTTTAAAATTTGAATGTAATATATTCCCTTATTCCACTTTAAATGTTTTATTTTTGAAGGCAGGTTATTCTAAACATTTTCGAAATTGATTTCATTCCAAGGGAAACCGTAATTCAAGTCGAATAAGTAGTAGCAGCCTTCGAAGTGTAAAGCTCTTCTCAGCTTCTTCCTATCTTTTTGTTTTTGAATGGACACAATGAGGGAAATCTTCGGAGCCTTTACAAAACTCTTATAATCCCAAATCCAGTAGTTTTCGCGAGGAGCTTTTATGCAAACGGCCCTTATGCAAATTCCTAGGACAGCGACTAATGACTGCATTTTCAAGCGCATAACAATGTGGAACTGACAAAACGTTTATGCTCACCCTATTGAATGCCTCGAGAAATTCCTCAGAACAAACAAATTGCTCGTGCTGCTGACGTAGGAATGAGTCAAGGTATGGTAGTACACCAGCGAACAGTCTAGGATCAGGAAAACCTGAGCCAGTGGATTTCAGGCGTATACCAATCTGCAAACATCATACTCGGATGAATACTTGAAATCTGATCCGGTAGAAAGAAAAGTTGTATTTAAAAGTAAAGGTAATTACCTCTTGCCGAATTTTGTGAGGAATAAAGTTAAAACAAGCGGAAGCCGTTCGAAGGGATATATATTTTTGGTAGATCGATCGAGCCAATTCAGCTGTTTGGGCGTTTCGTTGTGCTGACATTCGATCGTACGCAAGTACTGCGAAGTGCAACTCCAGGGGCTATAAAATGACACAAAGATTAATGCTTTTACAGCAAAATGCTGGTGGCGACGTTATCGATAACACCGCTTTATTCATACATGTGAAAACCTCGCAAAACTCAAATATTTCGGAAAAAATGTACATTTTGAAGGTTTCTAACGAGGTTTTCAAAACTAAACGAACTAAAATCATTCGGCAGTTACTGTGAACAAAAATCCCTCCCACGCTTTATCGCCGAAAGAGGAACAGAAAACAAATACCCTTTAATCAGGCGTAGAAGAGTAACTTCAAGGTTTGTTAATAAAACCTCGCCCCTGGGCTTCATTTCATACAGCCTGCCCTTGCCCATGAACAGTATCCCTTGAAGCCGGTCGATCTTTTTGCTTGTTGTCCATCAGTACTTTGTCCTATTACGTGCAGCCAAAAATCGTAAAGTTCTTGAGTTCGATGGCCGACTACTCATGAAATTTACGACTCGTCACAAAAATTTGAAGACAAGGCTCTTCTCTGTGATTTACTGAGCCTGTCATGTCTCTATCATTTTACAAAAATATAAAACAGAAAGCGTTCAAAGGGAGTCACCGCGGTTAAGCAAATCGTAGGCGTCCTTCCTTCTACAACCAGTCTGGTCCTACAAGACTGTACCACTCCCGCGACTTCACTGTATGTAACGAAGACACTGCGGTCTTTATATGTGGCAGTTCTGACGCCTCCCTAGTTGTCCCGCCCACCAAAACTCAAGGACTATTTTCTGTGACGCGTTCAGTTTTCACATCGTGTTTTTCATTTTTCTTACTGACTGCAGACGCAGTGGAACGATTGGTGAGCCAGAGGTGGTTGGACACCGCTTTAGTGGTATAAAACGAGCAGGTCCGGAGAACTCATCCAGAGTAACTGCCAGGCCCTTACTTAGTGCCTTCTCCATATACTTTCTTGCTTTTTTTCTTGGAAAGGCGCCTATAGGTTAGGATAGGTGCACGGGAGAAAACAGCAATCGGAAAATTGTACCAAAGCCATTTACAACCTCCCTGGGACTTTCCCCGATAGGCTGCGCCCAAGGATGATGTCTGTTAGTGGGCATAGCCTTGTCTCGTCAGGTGGCTTAATGCAACTAGCACCGGACAGCACTGTACAGGATTCCAAGGAAAACTACCAAGGCAAATTTAGAGAAGAAAATGAATACCTGAGGATTCGAATTGGCGCCAAGCCAGTCTCGGAAAGCATCGAGGGCAGTTCGATCGGATAGAACATATTCGAGCCGAAGTGTCCAACGCATATGGGGCCGATCCCATTCCGAGGGCATCCTTAAGAACGAAAAACTTTCACAGCAATGCCAATCAATCGATTAAACTCTCGAGAGACGAGAAATCACCACAAAAGCTGCACTACTTTAGCGAATTCAAACTGTGAATGTACAGAACAAGACAAGTCTTGCCTGGTAGAATTGAGCCGTGAATGCTAATGGGAATAAAATCGATCGAAAAAGAGCGATAATTACAAAGAAAACGACCATTAATGATGACACAAAAAACCGCCAAAGGAATAAAACTGAAGCCGTGTCTTTCTCCTCTTTAACAAACCCAGTATTGATAGTAATCATATCAGTATAACCAAGAGATAGTGACGAAACAGTTCGGAGGAAAATGAAGCCACAAATACCAGCAGCATTTCCGAACGAACTCGTACAGAAGTTTGAAACAACAGGCATTTGTTACGTCACGGAAAGAGAAGGAAAAGGAGAAAGAAGACAAAAAGGGTGAGGAAATGTAATAAACAAGAGAAAAATTCCAGTCAAAGTGGGATAGGAGGGAAAGCTTAATCAGATAAATGTTGCCTTTAGTCACGAGAACGCCAGTTCTGGGGCAAAAGATTTCACTCTCACACGGATCCGAAAAAGGAACTTCATGTTTTTCAAGAGCTAAATTTATACGGGTACTTCAAAGGGAGAAAAGATCCGTGCTGTACAACATCCCTCCTCCCTCCTCGCCTACCCCAACCTTGATGGACTGATCCCAGAAAAAAAAGACACTGTAGCGCTCACAGAAAACTGTAAATAGAAATTGTCCTGCACACAGTGAACAAGCCCGGTTGGACCTTGGTTACTGAACGAAATGCCATTGGAGAGCTGAGATAGCAGATTTTGAACAAAAAAAGAAACTGTACTTTGACAGGGATGAAAAGAGCGAAGAAGTGGAGGTTCTCAAGTAAGAGACCTCTTTCCACACGCAGTCATCTCAGCGCCATTTCTCGCCTTTTAAGTTGTTCGACTGGACAATAACCATTAATGGGGGATCTTATAGTGGCAGTAAAAAGGAAACCACGAAGGGTCAACTACGACAAGAATGGTATTTCATACACTTTACAGCAGATGAGCTCCAGCGGCCTCCTTTGAAGTTTTCCAAATTTATTCCTTTTTGAAGAAAACCAAAATAGATTCTCGATGTGATGCAAGTCAACAACGCCTTTTAGAATTCAAAGACGTGTTCGCTGGTTGTTAATGCAGAAAAAAGCAAGGCTGCGTTCATACTTTGCGATTCGGCCCTTCGAGCGCAAAGGATAGTGTAGTATAGTTCGACGCTAAAAACGCCAACTCGCTCAGAGCGCGTTCATGCTTCGCGATCCACACGCTCAAGCGATCCATTCGCAGGAACCAAACGATCTAATAAAAGTCATGAACGCGCTCTGATCCTCCTAGGACGACAGGTCGATATCTAATACATTGCCCTTTTCTCTCCAAGCGTCAGTTCTCTCAAAACACAGGAGTTCTCATGACGTATATTCTTCCAAAACGTATATTCGCAAACCATGAACGCATTCTGCCTGAACTTGGAATATTACCCAACTAAAAGACAATAAAAAAACCCACTTTTTGTGCAACAAAGACCCACTTTCCTGTGACCACAAGGAACTTCCCTGATTACGCAAAAACTACCCGATTTTCCGAAGCATTTAGCTGTGTCTTTTCGCCTATCTTCTGGTGATTTCGGTTTTTTGCGACCACACTTAAAAAATGCTTCTGCAGCAGATGATAATTACTCAAAGCCCAAAATGATATATAATAATAATGCGCCCTAAAACCTTAAAAAGCAAACCTGACGGGTTCACCCACTATCAAGCCACCGATGAATCAGTAA